TTCCCATCAATATAACTAATTCAATATGTCTACTTGGATTGAATTAAAACGCCGTTTGAAATGGACAGATGTTCAGCAGACATACCAACAATTGCTGGTTCATACACCAACGGCTGCTGAAAATTTAAATGAAGATAGTTTGTTCGACGAAGTGAGCTACGTGCCAAACTTCGTTACCGAAAACGGCTTGCAGAGGTGGGAGGAGACTAAAAGCGATATAGAACAGCGGTGGATAGAGGTGTTTAAAAATCTGAAAGACAAAGGAATGCCAACGAAAAATTGCTTATCTATCGTCCAGTACCTTCTTTGTTTAGCAGGGACAAATGCTCCGACGGAACGAGTATTTTCATTAATGAATGCTTTATGGACATCGGATAAAACGTTGCGATCAATTTAATGAAATTATAAATGAAAATCCACTACTGATCAAAAAGTTTCACTCGTGTGAAAAATATGATTTTAAAAAATAAAGAAACATCGACAAATTATATAATTCTCATATGGAGGTAATTATTTAAATGTAAACACCCGACTCAGCGAAAATAACCCCTCCTTAAATTGTCCCGCATTGGCTTCTTAAAAAGTTGGCCGCCTTATACATACTTCCTTGAAAGGGTATACTAGTTTTGTGCGAATGTACATACATATGTATGTAACACACAGAAGGAGACGCGGCAGACCCCCAAAAGTATAACATATCCATGTACATGCATATATTCTTGATCAGTATGGCAAGACGAGTCGGTATAACCATGTCCGTGTGTCTGTATGAACGCAAGGAGCTTGAATAACCAAACTTGGTATCCAGATTCCTAAGTCCAAGAAAGTACGAGTTTAAGTGTTTTTTCCGATGCACCCCCACTCCCCCGCAATTCGTGTTTTTATACCCGTAAGGTAAAAAGGGTATATGAGGTGTGTGCAAAGTATGTTACATGCAGAAGGAAGCATCTCCGACCCCATAAAGTATATATATTCTGAATCAGCATGACGAAAGAAATCGATCTAAACATGTCCGTCACTATGATAGACCGATTTAACAAGAAGTTATAGCCATAAATATATTTGCTGCCCGCAGCTGTTGTTGATGCTGGTGCGACAGACACGAATAGACATGCATAGCATGCATACACTCACATAGACGCAATTGCTATGTAAATGTGTAATTGTACACCCTTTACGTGAGTTCGAATACCGAGAGAGGTAAAATAGATCCAAATTTTTTTTTTAATTTTCTTAATTTTTTATAATTATTGTAAACATATGTACAGAGTATTTCAAAGTCGGAACATCCGACTTTAGCTTTCTTACTTGTTTTATTTACTGACCGTCTTAAAATTTTTAGTTGATGGTAATGTTCAGGAGCTTTGTAATGTGTTCCCTAATTTTACTAGCAATACCTTGGTTAAACCAAGGTTTTTGGCCAGCTTTGGTAAATTTTCTTAAAGGTGCACGCTTGTCATAGAGTGAGTCAATGTAATTGGACAGTTGTCTTATTTGAGAGTGTACATCCGTTAGTGAATATATAGAGTTCCAATACATAAGTCAATTGAGTTCCCAATACTGGGCATAAATTCAATTACGAGCGCACATGCACATGAATACTCTTACTCATTTATTAGCACATACCGAACGTAATCAAAAAATAATTTAAAGAACTTTCCGCTACTTAAACAAACCAATGTAATACGACAGCACATGAGATTGCAAATTCGTGCTGATGAAGCTTTGGTTGCTAATTGACCATTAAAAAATGTGTAGCGGTCAGAAGACAATATTAAAAACTTAAATTATTCTCTTAACCACAGAAACTGGTTGAGGTTCGGTGCAGCTTCCATGGATGCCCTGCGCTAATTTTCGAATTAACAAGACCTCCACGAACGTAGCAATGACAGCTCCAGCAAAATGACGACTGCCTGGTGTTGATAAGTATTTTTAAAGCTAATTTGATTCCTTGCATATGCATACTCATATGAATCATATCAGATTACGGGCATAATTCCAAGTGATTAAAACGGGTTTAAACTATTTTAAACGGCGCAGTTCTTGGGGTCAAATGTCAGGGAACGAATTGAATAGCCTGCTCGAATGCTCTGATAGATTATGCTAAAAACGCTACCTGCCATATGCATATATGTACATAAATATGTATGTATGTTTGTATGTATGTATATGCCTCAAGGTTCTACCACCAGCGTTTAACTAGAGCCGCCAACCGAGAGGTGCCTTGAAAGCAGCGCGCGTTCGCTGAAGCAAAACCAAAGCAATAAACAAAGAGTCACCTAGTCCAAGCCAACCACCAACAAAATAAGACGCATGTTAAGTAGTCGGACAAATTCATACTGCAGAATAGACACTGGCCCTAGTCCACAGACTGATATAATGCAATAACATACATAAATATATGTAAATGTATAAGCATATGTTCATAAATTCATATAAGTTTTGCTATATAAAAATATAACAAATTATCCAGTTGTGATAACTGGAAAAACGAAAGTCGGGTGTGCAGACTTTGAAATACTCTGTACATATGTATGTGCAGAATAAATATAGAAATTGAAAACAATTTAAATAGAGTAACGAAATGATAATATTGCAAAAAAATGGTTGGATATTCGAACTCACTTAACGGATGTATAACTGCACATTTACATACATAAGAATTGTGTCCATACGTTTGTGTGAGCATGTGTGCAGTACAGAGTTAAGCCAAGGTAGAGATATAGTTGATTAATCGGACAGACAGACAGGGCTAGATCGACTCTTCTTGTCACTCTGATCAAGAATACATATACTTTGTGTGGTCTGCCTACATTTTTCACCTCTCGAAAACGTAATATGTATACTCTTGTACAGAGTAAAAAATTCACCGAAACCTGTTTTGGCCGGAGAAAAGTATGACAAATTTCTGTGGCAGTCTACGCAATAATCTCTTTTTATTTTGCAAGTCTACGACCAACACAAAATGCCAAAATAAAAGTGTCTGAACAAAATAGTACTAGCCAGAAACAGAAACAGCCTTCATCCGAATTCACAAAAGACCTCAACAAGCAACAAGAAGTTTTTGGCATCTGCAACGCAGTCCCTTCTCGCGTCACGTGATCGCCAATATCACATCGCAATGTGCTGCATACGTAAGCAGCATATCTGTTTTGCTTAAGTCTAGATCGGTCATAAGCGGTCTTGACGCTGTTCAGGCTAATCATCTTATTGTCGGGGAACTACGCAATGACGCTACACATTTTGTGTATTTTTTTCGCAGACGAACTGGTTTCAGTGTGGCTGCGTATGCGGTTATTGAATGAATCAATTTTTAAACAAGAATTGAATGCTAGAGTCTAGCAGGCTCAACCTGCCCTGTACCCACTCCTACTAAGAAATAAGAATATTTTAAAATAAATTATAAAAAAACAAGTAGAGAAGCTAAAGTCGAGTGTTCCGACTTTGAAATACTCTGTACATACATATGTGTTGAATAAATATGCGTGTCTATGCGTGTTTGTCTGTGTCTGTGTATGTCTCGTGAGCCTGTGCAAAGCAGCAACAGCTGTGGGTAGTGCTTGGCCTGACATTATATATATGGGCATAACTTCCTGTTAAATTGGTCTATAACCACTAACTTAAGGTAATTGTCTATCTAGCAGGGGGTAGTACTGTGGGAAGTGCACTCGGTAAAAAAAAAGTCGTTAGTCCTTTCTCTGGTACGAAGTGCGTGTATATGTGCAGTACGGAGCTCTGCCAAAGCAGCAACAAACACATCATACGCGGCCAGACCTTGGGCAGAGATTACATTTATCTTGACATATGGCCACATAAGAACTAACCGTATGTATGTAATTGCCAAATTTGAACAAAAATGCAAGAATTACAAAATTTTAGAAACTTTTTGATCTACCTAGATGTTAGGGGAACCTGGATACCAAGTTTGGTTATCCTAGCTCTTGTACTTTCTGAGATCCTTGCGTTCATATAAATGGACGGACATGGCTATATTGACTCTTCTTGTCATACTGATCTAGAATATACATACATATGTATAAACTTTGTTAGGTCTGCCACACCTCTTCTTGGTTGTTACATGCATTCACACGTGGGTACAGAGTATAGAGTATTTTTAGGCACTGTGAGCAGGTAAACAAAATGATAGCACAATACCATTGGAAATCTACTTTTTCTAATATAACCTTGCAAATGCTTATTTTTTTATAAAAAAAAACAATTTTTTTTTCATAAGTAAGTATGTAAGTACATAATACACATTTTATCATACATTCCAAAACCATATGGTATAACAAAATCATTAGGTAAAATGCAATTATTGCATAAAAAGTTCTTATATTAGAACAGCTATGAAGTATGTTAATGCTTCAAATTGAAGTATTTGTACTCTAGGATATAGAAGTCCAATCCTACTTTCAAAAATGTTTCTAATTGCTTGCAATTTAACTATGCAGCTATTAAATTATGTACATATACATATGCTTAAAATATCTGTAAAATGAAAATACTAGAGAACAGACGAGCTTGGATGTACGAGTATCTGTCTCATCATGTTGATTATTTATGTACAGATGACGTGGGGCCTGCCACGCATTCTTTTGGGTGTTATAAATATCAGAGCTAATGCCAAATACCCAACGGCAGGGCTTAAATAAAATTAGCCCTGAATAGAAAGTCAAAAAGGAGGCACGGCTTCGATCTTTTTTCGTTGCAGTTAGGCAGATCGCTCCTTTGGTCAATCAGTCGAATAACAAGCCAAACAATAAAGATTCGCAACGCACAGGCGCCATTTTGCTCTCTCCCGTTCTCTCGCTCTGCTGCTCTTTGATTCTCACATTCAGCGCTCAATCATCAAGTTTTCTGCTGTTCTTCGACTCGACTCATTATAATTTGCTGTCGCTGCCACGATCGAAGCGGCAGTGCTTGGGCGGTTTTCCTTTTAAAACCAGCGCTGGTTGAAATCGTGTTTTAGTTCTGTTTGCAAAACGCAGCGAGTTAGATGTGCCAAAAGAAACCTTAGTATCGGTAGAGGCAGTTGGCAGATGGGCAAATTACCCAATTAATTGTCGGTTTTTATTAAATATTTTTTTTACTGCTCAGAAATCGGCGCTGTATTTGTCAATTGATAAGCATTGGCAAATTGAAATTGTGAATAGGCTGAATAATATTTCAAGCTGTTCCTTTTTTAACCTAAAGTGTGTGTCAAGTTCGGTTAATTTTAAAACATTCAAATATCCATTAATTGGAATATATTGGTCGGCGAATATTATTTCAGTGTGCTAACAACCAACGGCAAATTCATCGGCACCGTTTAAGACGTAAGTTTTTACTATCGGTTTCTTTAGGAAGAAGGGCTAAGAAGAAAGTTTACAAGACTTACCTATACATATGTATATGTGTGTATATACATAAATAAATACATACATACATACATTACCTATGTAAGTGGTAGGAGTGAGGGGACTCTCATAGATACAACATACACACAAATTTCTAGATGGCAACAAAAATTACTTAACCGTCTGCCAGAGCGTGTTGGCGCTGTTCAGTATTTGCCGTTCGAGACCGTCAAACAAACAAATTAGTGAAAATGATAATATTGAATGATGCTTCAAAACGCTATTACTGACTTAAAACAAAGCAAAATTCAACTACTAACTTATTGCTCGCAGCCACGCTAGGTTTAGTATCTTATCAGCGTGCGGAACCAGAAATCGAGAGCAAAATGAAACTAAAACCAAAACTTGCACCAGGAAAAAAGAAAAACAACCAAACTATTGCCAAATAGACAGGGAGTTGAAACTAAGGTCTGTTGGTGAGCGTAGGTCTATGGCAATATCACTTATAACATTTAGCTATTACTTGTAGTATATGCGATAATCGCAGTGGGCGTCTGACCAACAGTCACGAACCTATCTCAGTTAAGTAACTAACACTGTAGCCAACACACACTGCGATTTATTACTACAGTGCTACTGCATATCTCTGACAACACATTCTTTACACATCCCATCATACAAAGTCTTTTAGATTGCAAGATATACATATATATATATATATATATATATATATATATATATATATATATATATATATATATATATATATATATATATATATATATGTATATGTATATCTTTTATATATATATATATATATATATATATATATATATATATAACATAACATATAACAGCTAGAATAACCAAAGTTGGTATCCAGGTATCCTAGGTCCGAGAAAGGACGAGTTTATTATACCTTGTACCCAAAGGGTACAAGGGTATATTAGTTTTGTGCGAGTGCACATGGAACACACAGAAGGAGGCTTGGTAGACCCCACAAAGTATATATATTCTTGATCAGCATGACAAGCCGAGTCGATATAGCCATGTCCGTCTGTCCGTCTGTGTGTCCGTCTGTCTGTATGAACGCAAGGATCTCCGAAAGTATAAGAGCTAGAATAACCAAACTTGGTATACAGATTCTCCTGAGCCCGAAAAAAGGACGAGTTTGTTCATTTTTTCTGATCCACCCCCCCACTCCCCCCCTATTAACGATTTTCTATAACTCCCGTAATTTGAACTAAAATTTGGTAGTCACATTAGGTTAGTAATTATATATCCGTATACCAAGTTTCATTATGATAGAATGATCGGAAAGAAAGTTATAGCCATATAACCAGGCCCAATGCACACATACATACATATGTACAAGTACACAAGCACGCATAAGGCACGATTCTGATGTAAATGTAAATGTATGTATGCATGCATGGACTATTTTATATTTAATTTAGTTAATTAATTAAATTAATTTGGTTAATTAATTAAATTAAATTAATTTATTAATTTAATTACTTTTTTGTGGGGTGGTACAGGGTATTTAAGAATTGAGCCTGCTCGACTTTAGCATTCCTTTCTTGTTATACCCTGTACCCGTAGGGTAAACAGGGTATATTAGGTTTGTGCAAAGTATGTAACATACAGAAGGAAGCATCTCCGACCCCATAAAGTATATATATTCTTGATCAGCATGACGAGAGAAATCGATCTAGACATGTCCGTCCGTCTGTCCGTCCGTCTGTCCGTCCGTCTGGATGAACGCGAGGATCTCAGAAACTATAAAAGCTAGAATAACCAAAGTTGGCATCCAGATTCTCCTAGGTCCGAGTAAGGACGAGTTTATTTTTTTTTTTTTAATTTTCCCCCCCTTCCCCCGCTACAGAATTTCGTCAATAGCGTCCACATTTCAAATGCTACCTAAACCAAACTTTGCACACATAATTTATATATAATTGTCTACTGTTGTTCAAAATTTTATTCAATTCGGTCAATTCTAAGAAAAGTTATTAGCGAAACAAATTCTCGCCAGTACAACCCCCACAAACTGCAGCAACAAGTTCGCTCTTCTTCTTCCTCTTTTTGTTGCTGCTATGGGCGCATATAACTCAGTGACGGAAGTTTACCTGGGTACAGGGTATTACACTGTCGGGCTTGCTCGACTGTAGCGTTCTCTCTTGTTTTTTTTTTAAATTTTCCCCCGCTACAGAAATTTGTCAATAACGTCCATATTTCAAATACTACCTAAACCAAACATAATTAATATATAATGATCTACTGTTGTTTAAAATTGTATCCCATTTGGTCAATTCTAAGAAAAGTTATTAGCGAAACAAATTCTCTCCAGTGCAACCTCCCCAAACTGCAGCAACAAGTTCGCTCTTCTTCTTCCTCTTTGTGCTTCTGCTATGGGCGCATATACCTCTGTGTCGGAAGTGCATCTGGGTACAGGGTATTTCACTGTCGGGCTGTCGGGCCGACTGTATCGTTCTCTCTTGGTTGTATTTTGTGGATGACAGAAATACAGTTCAAATCATATACTTGTATGTCCTTTCTGTGTAAATAACAGCTTCTACTTGACATATTATCTCACCATGCTGATCATATATGTACCTATCAAATATCTTCCACTATACATAGTTCTTCATGGATGTTACAGGCCTTACACTTTGTACCCTTCACTGAAAAGTGTAACGGTAAACCTAGGTACGTAAATCTTCCGATTGAAACAGTTAGGGCAAAATTAAGTCAAAAAGATATTTCTACATTGGTCAGGATCTGACTCGCTAGCTCTCTGGTTGGCACAGGGTATATAATATTAAGAAATTTAACGTTTTGCCGATTAAAACCAAATTGCCTTCCCTATGCCATATGGGAACCACTTGATCTATGAACACATTCTCGTGTTTTATATATACATATGTATAGTGTAAAGCTAGACACATGCATATATAGATATTTGCAAAAATGCCTTTTACTTACGTTCACTGTGGATCATTAAAGTGCTGCACTATGTCATTAATATTAATTGATAGCACCTTCTAAAACCTGGACTTATTATTTCTAAGCAGCGACTCTAATTTTCCCCATACTAATTATGTAATTAGCAATTAGCGTAGATCGAACATCTGGCGTATATGAAATGTATATATTCTGCGTACTTGTATGGATCATTCAGGCCCTGCCACCACCACCATTATGAGACTCGAGCTGCGCTTTATGTAGTTTTAATCTCGTTTGTCCGCAATAACGTGTAGAATTATTTAGTATACATTTTAGATATATGTACATATATAGTATGTACATTTATTGAATTGACAACAATTGAAGTCGCATGTCTTCATCCAATAGCGGGCGATTTGCATTTGTCAAGCAATACTTAGCAATCAACCCGTAAATCGGGTTTTTCAGCCAGCCAGGCAGATAGGCAACAGAGCAAATTGCACGTTTGTAGTACGATTTTAATATAGTTCTATAATGGTACGACTGGCCAAGCCAATATAGTTGACTGGCACCTGACGATAGCTGCTTAGATGCCGATGCCGCTGTTTGCCCTTTTTTGTGTCCGCCAACTGGTTATTCAAGTGCGGTTCTGTTTAGACTTTATAGCCAAGTCGGCCGTATTCGCTTTTTTTCTTCGTATAAGTTTTCACATACAAGTAAGTATATACAATATTTGGATGAGTACGTAAATCATGATGTATGCATACAGTTTCGTCACGACATTGCCACGTGTCCACGATTATTTTTTTAAGAACACCCGCCCACCACGTTAAATGATCGATGACCGTAATGCCGTAAATGCATTTGAGATTGATGCGCAATTGATCTAGGATATTAGTTTCTGATAACTGGAGCGTATGCCCCGACTCGAATGCAATTTGTATCAGTATCGTATAAATTTCCGAAAAATGGATTAACTAGTCCTGAAGCAAAGAAAAGAAGAAGGAAAGTGATTCCGCACCTAATTGCGAAAAATTTAAATTTTAAAAATTACGAGATAATGGAAAATCGTGCATAGCGGGTGTATCAGAAAAAATCATAAGCTCATCCTTTCTCGAATTTAGGACAATCTGGATACCAAATTATGTTATTTCAGCTCATATACTTTTTGAGATCCTTGCGTTCATACAGACAGCCAGGCAAGCGGACAGATGGACATTTTTTATATGGATTCCACTTGTTATCCTGACCAATGATTTTATATACTTTGTGGGGTTTTCCTCGCCTTCTTACATGTACACTCGCACAAAACTAATATACCCTTTTACCCTTTAGGTACAGGGTATAATGGCTTGTCAGAAGTTCTGTATGACGTTTAGATTTGCTAGCAAGGCATATAAGTAAGGCTGGTAAATTTTCAACAAGATATCGAGATCGAAATAAATCAGATTATTACCCAGGAGTGACACTGTGACGGTCACCCTCCAAGTAGCTCACTAAATGTATGCTAATTCGTTCTATTATCAACACCCAGTACCAGCCGTTAGTTATCTTGGCAGGTTGGCCGTCGCGTTAATTAATAAACATTTATGCACAATTTAGCAAGAACACAGTCAAAGAGTCTTTGCTAACCATGAGAAAATTGGCAATGCGCTGTCGAACACCGGTCGACTAAAGTGGCCAACGCGATAACCCCCGCACCCCATTGTCATCATCATCATCATCATCATCATCATCATCAGCATTACCACCTGGTCACTGAAAAATGCTGGCAATATCTGTAAATGCATAGCTTTTATTGTTTCTGTTTGTTGTCTGTTGTTCACTGCTTGCATTTGCATATGGCAGCGGTGTCGCATTGCCTTACTCTAAGTCTGCATCATCGTCGCGCCGTATGCAAGCGTGCCACCGCCCCCTACTTCACCTTTGCCATAATTACGTTGCACTGAGACAGCTATGTATGTACATATGTATATATGTAAGTAGGTAAAGCAGCCGGCGCGCCGGTTAACCTTGACTGCGGTTATAATTCAATA